CAGCTATCCTTTCTAGCTTGATTTTTTGTCACATTTTTCTATATGTGATTTTATATATTTTTCTTATTGTTTTAAAATCTCACTTAATAGAATGTTTTACAATAAAAGTAAATTTTGCCCTTTTATTCATTATTATATCCCTATCAAGGTGTCCTGATGGAGTGGTGGGTTATATGTTGGGTTAATAATAAAAAAATTGATAGTTTAGTCCACATGCCAACCCATGGAATAAAATATAGTCTGATCTCATTAAGATTTACATTCCTGAAGGGTCACTATGAGTCAGAATCAACTCAATAACAGTGGGTTTGGTTTGGGGGAGTCCTGTTCTTATCATCAAGATGGATGTCTAAAGATCCCTGATTATTTCACTGGAGCATCAGAAAGCCAAAGCAAAAGGAAGAAATCAGGAAGTTAAGGAACTGAACAGAAGATGGCAGCTTGGTAGACAAAACAAAGTATTATAATGAAATGTATAAAGAGCTGGAGTTAGAAAACCAAAAAGGATGAACTTGCTCAGCATTTTTTGAGGTAAAAAAACTGAAGAACAAATGCAAGTCTTCAATTGCAATACTTAAAGATGCTATGAGTAGAACACTGAAACTTCCAGGAAGCATCAAAAGAAGGTGGAAGTGGTACACAAAAGCACTATACCAAAAAGGGTTAGTGAATTCACAAGAATTTCATAAAATAATGTTATGATCAGAAGCAATGGTGATGAAGGAGAAAACATAAGCTGCTCTGAAGGAAGTGGGAAGAAAAAAAATAAGGTCTCAAGAACTGATGGAATACCAATTGAAATATTTCAACAAACAGAAATATTGACATATTTCAACAATAAGCAGCCTTGGATATGCTCACTATATTGTGCCAAGAAATATGGTGGACAGCTAACTGACTGGATGACATTCATATTTATTTCTGTTCCTCAAAGCAGGTGATCCAATACAGTGCGGAAATCATAAAAAAAGCAAAAAAAAATCACACTCAAGATTACATGAAGATTTTCTCGCTAAAGATTATCCAAAAACAACTGTAACAGTACACTGACAGAGAACTGCTAGTAATAAAAGCTGGATTTAGGAGGGGCTGTGCCACTACGGACATCATTGCAATGTCAGATGGGTCTTGGCTGAAAAACGACAGTACCAGAGGAATGTCTATTTATGTTTTATTGACTATGCAAGGCCATTTGACTGTGGATCACAACAAACTGTGGCTAAGATTGAGGAGAATGGGAATCTCAGAACACCTGATTGTTCTCAATAAAAAACCTATGTCTACACTAGGAAGCAGTCATCTGAACAGAGCAAGGAAACACGGAATGGTTCAAAATCAAGAAAGGTGTGCATCAGAGATGGACTCCTTTTTCTGTGTATTTTCAATCTATACATGGAAAGGAATAGTTGGAAGGGTGGACTCCATGAAGAAGGCAGTAGTATCAGAATTGAGGGAAGCCTCATCAGCAACCTGCATTATGTGGATGACACAACCTTGCTCACCAAAATGAAGGAGACTTGACACATTTGTTGTGGAAGGTCAAGGACTGCAGTCTTCAATATGGGCTGCCATTCAACATCCAGAAAACAAAGATGATTCTCACCACCTGGCCAATTTGCACCATCATTACAGATGGAGAAAAGATTGAGATCGTTAACAATTACATCTTGCTGAGACCCACAATCAACACTTCTGGCATTAAAAAGATGAGTTGCTTTGGGAAAGGCCTCTCCAGAGTGCTAAGAAGCAACAATATCAGTCTGGAGACTAAGGTGTACCTGGATCCAAGAAGAATCAATGTTTTTGTGTTGTGGTACTGGAAAAGAGTATTGAACATGCTTGGGCTGCCAAGAGAACAAACGAGTCCTTCGCCCAGGAGAGGGTGAAACCAGGTTGCTCATTGGAGACAAGGATTTTGAAGCTCTGTCTCATATGCTTTGGACATGTTTTCAGGAGGGGTCAGTCCTTGGAGAAGGCCATCATCCTTGGAGGATGTCATACTTGGAAGGGTGGAAGATCACTACAAATGAGGAGGACCCTGAATGAGTTGGATTGACACAGTGACTTTGGCAATGGGGGGAGGTGTGTCAGAGACAATGGGGTTGACTCAAGATAGAGCAGGGTTCAGAGCTATTGTTCATTGGGTCACTATGAGTCTAAGATGACTCGACAGGACATAACAATAACCCCTTTATCACAAAGAAGCATGTACAGTATAGCCTCAAAAATCACCTGTGGGAGGGAAAACTTGGCAGCAGGAAGGAAAGAACAAAAGGGAGGCAAGGAGAGAAGGAAGGGAAAGAGAGAAGGAATGGCAGAATAGAACTTGGAGTCCATCCTAGGTGGATATGAAGGGTCAAGGCAGCCACAGCTAATATTCCGAATCCATCTACGTGGATTGTTAATAAAATGAAGTTCTCACAAAATTCCATTTTCAAAAATATAATTGACAATGTACAACAAAACTTAAGTCTTTGTGAAAAATACATTTGCTGTTAAGGATTTATAGGTAGTATTTTATGTAGAAAGTTTATTTGTAAATTCACTAACATATAGCTCTAATATCTGAGTTTTGTTGTTGTTAGGTGGTGTCAAGTGGACTATGACTCAGAGTGACCTGATAAGGGGAAAATAAATCAAAACCCTGCCTTACAGATAGATTCATAAAACATCTAGATGTTAGAGAAACCTTACAAAGCACAAACTATGGTAACTCTCAAGATTCATGAAAAGGTGTAGGCTAGAGTAAGTCAAATCATTCCATTTCATACACCATAAGGTGGCTTTTCACAGTGAACAAAGCTCTTTTCTACGAGGAAAGTAAGTCTACATGCTTCAATTGTGAATGAAACAGAAGAGGAGAAATGTTTCTTGCCACACACTGACAGTTACAGGGAACCCCCTGAAGTTGTAAATTGAGTTCCTCGGCTAATTACTGGTCTGAAGGAGACAAAGAAAAAGATCCACATTTTATTTCTCTTGCTGAGGTTGCACCATAAGCACTAGTGAATTTTACATTAGGGTCAAGCTGGGAAGTTCCAGTTTATTTTAACATAGACTAGAAAACAGTGTCACCTCCCATGCAAATGAGATCAGGTCTGCCTTTCTGCCTTGGGTACCTATGAGGGAGATTTCAGTGTAGCAGCTTTTAATGCAGTACTTGATACAGAGGACAAAGCAAACGACAAAAAACAAGAAAACAAAATATAGGATCAATTTAAAATAAAATGTTGTCTGTGGATTCCAAAATCATATATTTCAAACCAACCTCAGAATTTTATATTACTGCTCATTAAAATCATATGCCACATCTACTGATAATAACATCAACTATTCTATCAACTTTCTGAATTACACATTGTCAGACCAGTAAAGCTACACAGCAGGCAAGTACTTTAATGAAATAGGCCCAGTTCTCCAGGGAGGAGAACCTGTGGTTCAAGCACTAACACTTTGATCAAGAAAACACTTTATTCTTGACAAGGAGAAATACTTGTTACATGGATCCTGGTCAAAAATGCTCTGGGGAATGAAAAAAACAGGATTAGGGGTGAGGAAGGGAAACAAAGGCCTATTGTGATGTATTATTCCAAAACAGATTTTCTCTGAAGGAAAGTATCATGTCAGTATTTATAATTCTTGGAAGGAGCAGTCCACCCACTTCTATAATAGCTTGCCTCTGGAAACCCTATGAACCTGGAGAGAGGATGAAAGGCACCCAAGCGTCAAGGACTCTCCTTCATAGGGTCACTATGACTCACCTGCGACTCAAGCGTCAAGGACTCTCCTTCATAGGGTCACTATGAGTCGCCTGCGACTCGACGGCACTTAACAACAACAACATTTATAATTCTATTTCTTTTCTACCTTTCTAGAAAATATTGAAAAGGCAGTCTCATTCCAATTGTTGTTGATGTTATGCTCTGTGGGCTTGAGACCATTCTGACCATAGCTGACCCTCTACTGGGTTTTCAGAGATAATTAAAATGGAGATTCCCCATCTTTCTCCCACAGAGCAGCTGGATTGGATGATCTGACTTTACATTGACAGTGAAACTCCTTCCTGTTAAACCACCAGAGTTTCCTCATTCCAATTGTTGTTGCTGCTGTTATGTGCGGTCAAGTTGCCCATGACCCATTATGGCCCTATGTACATCTGAAGCCTGCCCTGTCCTGAACCCGTCTCACTGACTCCGATACACCTGCCCCCACTGCCTCAGTTACTTTATCAAGCCATCTTTTCCAGGAGAACAAAATTAATTCATTCATGTAGTCAACCTATAATCATTGAGGAAAAATTCTTTGTTAAAGAAGAAATGTCAGAACATTCATCATGAATATAATCTCCATTGACATCACAGTTTCCCCCTTCTTTCTGTTTTAGTCTATTTACTATAACATTATATTCAAAATGTGACTGAATAAAAATAACCTAAGAGATAACTCGTATACCATGTTCCACATCTGAAACTTGGGGAAGAAAAACTAAATCAACAAGTACCTTCTTACCTTCTCACTGTCATATATTGAAAACTGGGGAATCACAAGACCTAGCTTGAAATCTCAGCTCTTTTACTTACTAGCTGTCTGGATGAATCAGTAGCTCTGTGAGACTCACTTCTCTTATATTAAAAAAAATGCTAGAGAGCTATCCATCCCACAAAGTAGCTGGAATTATTTAATAAGATTCTGTCAAGAACCATATTCATAAAATGCTTTCAACAACTATGATGATTTTGATTATTTTTAGAATCTTAAATTCATGTCTGTAACTTCACCTTTAATTCCTAAGCTCATCTGGGGTAAAACTTCAGACATACTAAACTTTATTTTATATCTTTAGTGGAAATTCTATTTCACACTCATTGTTGTTGTTATTATTTCACACTCCTAGCCTCTAAAAGTAGAACCCTTGGCATCACTGTATTTGCCACACAATTTGACCAAGAAACCTCAACTCCAAGCAGTCCTGCCAGTGAAATAACCAAGAAAATTCTTACCGAGTTTTGGCAAAGAGTAGGGCACTTTAAAATAGTCTTCATAAAATTCTATTAATCTCTTTGTTATATGGAGAGCGTAATCCCCAGATCCTCGTCTGATGGCATCGGGTCTTGCATATAATCGCACCTGATTAAAAAAAAACAGGCATAAAAGTTACTTTAGCTTTTGGGTACTCAAGCTTTAGTTTCATCCTCCTGTATATATTAATCCATACATAGTATTTCAAGTGCAAGAAAAATTAAACTATATTTTTGTTCATTTCTCAAAGCACTCTGTACATTAAAGAACCAAATTTAAACAATTGAAGTAACTGAGTTGAACAAGTTACAATTTCTTCACTTTAAAAGATGACATAGAACATTTACACACCTTGCATCAAAATAAATATTCAAAGTGATCACTTACATGTGTCTGCTAGAGATATGAAGGTATGCTGGATTAGTATAATGGGTCCCTGACTAGGCTGAAAGTAGGCATGATATGGTAGCTCCGCAGGAGGGAAAATTCATGGTTTGTTAAAGACACATTGCAACAAGCTTTGAAAGTTATTACCAAGCTGAGCAAAAATATAATTGAGGCTTCCTTTTTTTTTCCTGTGGAAACAACTGTCTTTATTCCCAGTATGCAAACGAGGGATAGAGAATTCTTTTATGTACATAAATGATCTTCATTCTGGAAGACTGTCTGCGACTGCTCTCGGCTTTAAACCCAGCTGAAGTAATTCTTTTTGCTAACACAATCTGGATACTTAATATTGATTTTTAAATCAGGCATTGTATATTATCTAGTCCTTAGCCAAAACGATCCTAAGGCAAGTAACATAAAGCTGAGCAAAACTAACAATTGTACAGAAAAGGTTAAAATGAGATTAGTTTTCATAAAGCTTTCATAAAGCTATCCAGCATCTTTCTTTCCAAAGGCTAAATCTATTTTTCACAGATGTGGTCCCTAATCCTCATATCAATTGTGTGAATAAGAAATACGTATTTTGTGGAATAGTTGAGAGCACAGTGGCCTGGGAGTTGGATTGTGGTTCTACTCTGTGTCTAAAAAAGCTGGGTGATAGTGAACAAATTACTTAACTTGTTTGGGTCCCCAGTTTTCTCATTTATAAAATAAAGGTGTTGGCCAGCAGATGGTTTCTAAAGTGCTTTGCAGTTCTAAAATACATTGCTCTCGATCCTTATAAATAAATAAGGGAGTGTGTTGGGTTTTCTTTTACCTCTCTCTCCTTTTTCATGAAGTTACTATAAAATAATATTGTGTTCAACATATTTATTGTTAAACATATTTATTCAACATATTTATGGATATTTATAGTCCATAGAAGATTTGGAAAACCTGCAATCATAATACCATTTGATCACACAATTATTATCCATGTTCAAAAGAGAAAGATAAAAACAAAATGGTTCTTTAGGGTGTCAGAAAGTAAAACTGCTTCATAGTGTTTTAATGGTTCTAATTCAAAGAGCTCTGGTGACCTAATGGGTAAAGAGCTATGCTGTCAACCCAAAGGCATGAAGTTAGAATCCATCAGCTGCTCAATGGGACAAAAATAAGCAGTCTTCTGTGTAATTAATGCCTCCAAAAACCCAGTAAAGGGTCAGCTATGGAGCATATTTGACTTTGGAGTAAACAAAAACAACAATATCAATTTCTATGAAAGAAGTTGTGGTGGCCTAGTAGATACGATGTTTTGTTGAAAATTCTTTCCATGTTTTTTGCCCATCTTATAATTGGGTTATCAGTCTATTTTCTATGGAAGCCCAGGCATATTCTTTAAACTGTTGTTGTAAGATTCTTGTCTGAGATGATATTACCAAACGTTTACTCCCAGTATGTAGGTTTTCTTTTTATCCTGTTGGGAAAAGTTTTTGATGCATACATGGATTTAATCTTTAGAAGGTCCCAAAGATCAATTTCATCCTCCTTAGATTGTGCATTTGTGGTTGTATTTGGCAGTCTCTTTATATCTGAGATTAGTGCTTCTACGTTTGATCCCAGTTTTGTCTCTTATGAACATTATGGTTTTGGGCTTTACTCCCAGGTCTCTGATACACCTTGAGTTGATTTTTTAGTGTGGTGAGAGATGTGAATCCTGTTTCAGTTTTCTGCACGTGGAAGTCCAGTTGTTCCAGCACCATTTGTTGAAGAAGTTATCATTTCACTGTTTGATACCTTTGATTTCCTTGTCAAATATGGAAAGAATTTTCACAGAGGAAGATATTTGAATGGCAAACAGACACATGAAAAAATACTCAGAATCAATGGCAGGCAATAAGAGAGATGCAAATTGAAACCACAATGAGGTACCATTTCACTTCAGTAACAGTGGCAAAGTTTAACAGGGCAGCAAGTAATAAATGGTGGAGAGGATGTGGTGAGAAAAGAACTTTTATACATTGTTGGTGGGATTGTAAAATGGTGCAAACATTCTGGAAAGCAATCTGGTGCTTGCTGAAAAAGCTGAACATATAAATTCCATATGACACAGCTATTCCACTACTTGGAATATACCACAAGAAAATGAGAACTGAGGCACAAACTAAGATTTGTACACCAATGTTCATAGCAACACTATTCACCACTGCAAGAACATGGAAACAGCCCAAATGTCCAACCACAAATGAATGGATTGAGAAATTATGGTACATTCACATAATGGAATACTATATGCAGCACGCAGGAGCAATAACTTTGTAAATTATTACCTAACTTGGGAAGGACTGGAGAGCATTATGTTGAGTGAACTAACTCAGTCCCACAAGGATAAATATTGTATAACATTATTATTGTAGAATGAGTATAAGGATCCAGGAGGGGTGGGAAAGGTTTGAAGCAGTGGGATGAGGATGTGTGGGGGAGGGAGGTATTAATCATGGGGTTGTACAATTTGATGGGTGGGGGAATGAGGAAAATACAAAGAATTTGTTCTTGAAAACAATGTATTCTAGTTTTGTAAATAAACTAGCAGATAATAATTAAAAAAAGGTTTTTTAAAACCCATAGGCATGCTGTTTAGGTCCACAGGGCAACCTCTGTGAGCAAACAATAGGCAATCTCCTCCTATTTGATTTATAGCCTATGAAAACTCCCTAGAGGGTCAGCTATGAGTTGGTTCTGACTCAATGAAGTAAGTGAGTGAATCCCTATAGTAGCAGTTAACCAAGCATTTCTTTCACAAAACCACTGGAGCAGAGGGTTTGAACCACCCATGTTTATGTTAGCACCCAATAGCAAAAGATTTCTATGACCCAGATAAAAATGAATAATAAGTCATGGAAAACACCTTCCTCCTTTACTTCAAATAGATCTATAATAGAATAACACAGTAACAGAATACCAGATTTACAATCAAAGTGACTATTAGATGCATAGCCTTTCCTATCAACCAGTCCCACAAACCAGTCAAGCTATTTGAAATTAATTCAGTCATTATTATTTATTAATATTGTCAAGCTACTCCTAAACCAACAACTGAAACATATATCAAATTTAGTTCAGTAACCTACGGTGGATTTAACTGTCAATAATATAGAGCCAAACTGTCAAGAGAATCCATCTGAAAAAGCAGAACTTGATACTCTTGACACCCTGAGGGGAACAGTTTGATATGATTCCCTGTCCCTTATGTCAACTGCTCTATAAACATTCAATGTCTTAAGTGGAGTTCCCAAGAGGTAGGCTGTAAAACAAGAAGGAATGAGAGAATGATTTAATAAAGAGAGGCTCCCAAGAGAGGCCTACAAGGAAGTGGGGAAGCAGTAGAAAGTAAAATTAGAAGTCTAGCAAGGATGCAATTTCAGATGAAATCACAAACTCAGAATGGACTCCAAGGGTCCGCTCAAGTGAAAATTTTACTAGAGAGTGTGCCCTCCCTTGAGGCAATACTGTTCAGCTTTCATAGTCCCAGTCAGTCATTAGTTGTTCTTTGCCAAGGGGATGGTATAAAATCCCAGGTACTTCAGTTCTTGAAGCATCTAGACAGGATAGCTCTACTAGCTGCAGAAACAGTCCTTTGGAAGTATAAGCCTTTAGGGGTAAAACAATGAGAGGTGAGAGATGGACATACATCTAATAAAGGGGATCTAGTCTGCAAAACAACAGCATCTATCACAGACAGCAATCCATTGCTTTATCATCTACATAGATGCAATAGTGGGTACTTCATCAAGAGCTACACTGCTAGCCCAATGTCAGCAGCTTTCCTGTGGTTTGAGTCCACAAGTAGCTCCTCATGAAAAAGATGGACAATCTCTTCCCATGAGATTTACAGCCTATAAAACCCAATGGAGTATGAGCTCTGAGTTAGTTTTAACTATGTGCAATGAGTCTGCATCTAGTGCCAACTAGTTTATGCCATAAAAAGCCTTGGTGGTGCAAGTAGATAAGTAATTGACTACTAGCTCAAATATCAGTGGTTCAAATGCACCACCTACTCCACAGGGGAAAATGAGTTAATCTGCTTCTGTAAGGATGTACAGTCTTAAAATGCCTGCAGGCAGCACTGCTCTGACATAGCGAGGCATTGAGTAAGAACAGACACAACTGCAATGATTAGATGGTAGTACTGTGCTGAATTCTGAGCTAAGTATTTCAGATATAGTGATGAAAAATACATGTTCTCTAAGTAAATAAGGTACAAAACATTATTGAAGGGGAAAAGTAAGGTAGGTATAAACACCACTCTTAAAACTAGCCAGTTATTAGGTAAGATTTATATTATTAATAGTTGTCATGTTGCTGGTGTTGGGTACCATCACGTTGGAACCAACTCCTAGCTGACCCTCTGGCGGGTTTTCAGAGGCAACTAATTGAAGGGGAGGAGATTGTTCATCCTTCTCCTGAGGTGGATGCAAACCCCATGTCTTCAGGATTGCAGTTCAGTGTTTTACCATTAGACCATCATACCTCCTTATGAATGGTAAAATGCAAATGGTAAATGGATACTGAGGAAGAATGGCTGGCTTTCAGAATGATCAAAGTGAAGTAACCTAGCAAATTCATTTTAAAACTCCAACCAGGACCACTATGTGATGGTCACTGATTTTACTCCTTGTTGTTGTTGTTATATACTGTCGAGTCGCTTGCATAGTGACCCTATGAACAACAGCCCTAAATTC